CAGTTTCTTTAAGGTAGGGAGAGAGTCACATTGCTCCCTGTTCTAACCCCACTTGGGAGTCCATGATGGCAGTATCCCAGCAGTGATCACTTTTGGATAAACCAGTACGATTGTTGTGTATTGAAAATAAGCTTCTCGGGGCACCTGGGTGGCTCAGTCGTTAAGCGTCTGCCTTCAGCTCAGGTCATGATCCCAGAGTCCTGGGACTGAGCCCCGCATCGGGCTCCCTGCTCAGTGGGAAACCTGCTTCTTCCTCTCCCACTCCCCCTACTTGTGTTCCCTCTCTCGCTGTGTCTCTCTCTGTCAAATAAATAAAATCTTAAAAAAAAAAAAAACTTATCATTCTACTGGCACTTTGTCTGCCCAGTGGAATTCAGTCTCTGTAATGCACTGCCCTGAGTCTGGCTATTCTCCCCTTGGTATAAGCCAAATAATAGCCAAATCAGAATCCCAGCCTGTTGCCCATAAGAGCTGCTACCCTCAAGGAAATGGGGGCAAGGCCTTGAGCAGGGAGGGTGCTTGGAGGGTTTGCATTGAAAGTAATGTTCCCATCTTCAGGACCAACAATTCTGGCTTTCAAAATAAGGAAAAAGTGGTAATATGGCTCAAGTCAAAATGAAAACCCTCTTCCTTTCTGTGACCGCTCTAGCTGGGGAGTTAGTTTTCTGTTGCTTCAACAAGTGGTCTGGAGGACACTCCTGTGATGGTTAGGGCCATTGACAGCACTTGATTAAAACTTGACAGCTTTTCTCCCTATCTCCTCCCTCCCCCCTCCCCACTGAGACTCTGTTTAGAGGAGCATTTGTGAGACAAACTGGGCTTACAAACATTGAAACAGCTGCTCTCCCAGCCCCTTGACTCCTGTACTGCTGCAGTCCCGGTGCTGGAACTCTCTGCCGAGGAGGGTGGAGTGTCTGGATCTCTGCTGTTCCCTGTTAACATAAAGGCAATTCTTTACAGGTTTTGACCCTGCCTGCATTCTCCCTCCCTTACAACATGCACATTCATCTCTTTTCGTGGTATTACTGCTGCCAGAATGCAAACTTCATCTCTCTGTCATCTGAGCATCATTCAAAAGCATTCCGCCCATTTGTGAATTATTCCCTGACTCTTGATAGGGCAGTGTTATAGGTCCTCTGCCGGCAGAAGGGAGTTCGACAAGACCTGAAGACCCAAGACTTTCAGAAGCTGTGACAAGCAGACTAGGAAGCCACAAGACATTGTGAGCTGAGTGGATGTCTTAATAAGCTTTTAGATGTGATTTGGCCAGAGTTGGCAGAGGAAGCTCAAGGGAAAAAGGCGAGTAAATTGTTGCAGACCCACTGGGCGTGACAACCCTAGGAAGCTAATGATCTCTCCAGGAAGGAATTGACAGCAATTATCCAGCAACAGAACACCATGTAGAATGGGGAGGACAGACTCCCAGATGTGAGTACAATCTCTCTTCACTACAGGGTTTTGAGCAGTAGGAGCAAAGCGAGTTATTGTAATTGATGGTGCTCCCTAACCACTGGTTCTGGGTGCCTGTGGACTGTCTCTGGGTGGGCTGTGCATAAGGTCCTGGCTGGGACTTTTGTTTGCCAGGTCTCTTCTAGAATATTTTGTCTGTCAGGAAACTGAATGTAGTGGTTTGGGGATATTGGTACCAGGAGACTTTGTTGTAAATCCTCAGGAAAACAGCAAGAGCAAACCTCATAGACCTTTTGCTATAAAAAGAAAACAGATTGCATCACAGACCAAGCAGCTGTGTGGCCCTCTGGCATTCGTGATGAGAGAAAAAAAGCATTGGCAAATTGGAATGCAGTGAAAATGGGGCAGTGGGCTAGGAGAAAGGAGGGAAATCTTTCTTAGGAAGCTAAATACTTTCTGGATTCAGGAAGCTCATTGAATATTTATGATCATGGATTTATTTCATTTCTGCTTAAAGAACTGGCAGCATGTTTGCATTTAATGTTTTTCTCTGGAGCCCTGTGAAAGTGAGCATTGTGACAAAGAGGGATGTGATTGATAGATGTGGGGCAGAAGAAATTCCTCACTGCCAGCCGTGGGAAGTGTCTTGAATGATAGCTGATCTATTTGGAAGAGGAGGCTCAGATTTAATGAGGGAATGGGGCTGCTACAGCCTGGGGACCCAATAGGTTGGCAGTGGAATTTAACTCGTTGATTGCAAACTGGCTGCCACCTCTTTATTCCTCTCCCTCCCCCACTTCTTGTTGGGGGTCCTCTATCCCCCTTATTTCTCTCCCTCAGCCTGCCTCCACCTGGCCCAATTTGTTAGTTCAGAGGTGTCAGACAAGAAGCTGAGTATCCTCTTATTCAAAAAGGATGGAGGTGTAGAAAGGAAGCCAAAAGGAAGACTCAGCCACTTTGATCTCTTCCCACCACCCTGTGTGTAAATGCAACTGTAGGTGAATGCTGGAGGTCCTACCAGCGAGCCTATTACTGGATTTAAATTGAGAATGAACTTGAGATGCCCAAGCACAAAGGGATGATGCTAGCTGCAGACTGGTAACTGGAACCCTAGGATTCTGCTCCTGATTTTGCAAGCAGTTTTCTGTGCAACTCTAGTTGGGGGAAATATCCAAAATCCTATAAGCAACATGTCCTGGAGCTGCCCTGTTCCTCTGGCAGGCTGTGCATTGGCCATGGTGGAGGCGGTCGGGTGGAGTGGGGTGGGGACTGGGGAGCATTTCATTCTTAAGTAGCTGTAACTGAAAAGCAAAAAAAAATTAAAAATAATTTTTAAAAATTCTGTTTGGCCAATATTTCTCAACTGTAGTATTTTCTATCTTAAAAAAAAAAAAGGAATAGTAATGTGTGCTGGATTTGCAAAGGGCTGTTTACCAAAGGTAATTATGTAAACAAGGCTATCTCAGAAGCCTGCAACCATGGCAATAAGTGTCTAAGAGCTGGGTTTATTGTCTGGGACAGGAGGGGAGTGGCTGTCCATGTACTGTGGGCCTGCTGACCCGCGCATCTGTTGCTGGGGAGACTGGACAGCACTGCTGGTCTGCAGCTCGTGACCTCGGCTGATGGGCTGCACTGAGTTTGCAGCAAGGACATCTCTATGTCTATCCCCAGGAGCTAAGCTCTGAAGTAAAATGAGTGAAATTTTAGTCATGATAACAGTATTTGTATGAACTGGGCCATTGTAGTTGAGACATTCAGATGCCCATTACAAGAAAAGTTTGGGTACAGGAAGGTGGCCATTGAGTGCACAAAGATAACAAATGAGTAAATGGAAGAATGTGGTTGTAGAGAGAGAGCATTTAGGAAGCTGCAGCTAATATTGTATTTTCTCGACTTTTGGACCTGGAATGCTTTTGCAGTATTGGGGCAAACGGAACAGAAGCTCAGTATTACTGGCTTGAAGTTACCACAGATTATCTGAATAGAGAGACAGTGTATCCAGTGTTTACAAAAACAAACCACTCTAAACAGTGGAACTGTCTGGGAAACATAAAGCCCGAACTGGTCTCTCAGTGGGATCCTGGGAATCTCCAGTGGCATTTCCAGCTCTGTTTCTCTGCTTTGAGTCTCAACGTCATTGGCTCATTCATTCAACCAAGATTTCCGGTGCATCCCAGGGACCTCTGACCATGGCTAACAGAGGAGTCCTCTGCTTTGGAGCATCCCTTCTCCAGATTTGTTGCACTTCCAGTGAGCAGAGCAGGGTGGATTGGTATGGGTTTTTTTTTTTTTTAAAGATTTTATTTATTTATCTGACAGAGAGAGACCGCGAGAGAGGGAACACAAGCAGGGGGAGAGGGAGAAGCAGGCTTCCCGCCGAGCAGGGAGCCCGATGCGGGGCTTGATCCCAGGACCTTCAGATCATGACCTGAGCCGAAGGCTGGCGCTTAATGACTGAGCCACCCAGGTGCTCCCCCCCTTTTTTTTTAAGATTTATTTATTTGAGGGGTGAGGGGCAGAGAGAGAGAAGGGAGAGAGAACCTCAAGCAGACTCCCTGCTGTGTGCAGAGCCCAATCGATCCCAGGACCCTGAGATCATGACCTGAGCCGAAATCAAGAGTCGGATGTTTAACCGACTGGGCCACCCAGGCGCCCCGAATCCTTTACTTTTGACATAATTACCAGTGGCTTTGGTTTGCTCTAAAGGTGGCTCAGGGCTACTGATAGGAGTCAGCCTTTAAAATTCTATCCATTTGCCATTGTTGGAAAGAAGAGGTTAAGTTTACTGCTAGTTACTCCCTCCAGACCACTGCTCTGAGTGGGGCTTCGCATCCTAGAGGTGGTTTTAGTAGGCCTTTTATTTCCTGTTAGGCATGGAAGCAACAGAAGCAGCCCCTCCCCATGCAGTTGGCAGCGCGCACTGTCAGTGGTTCTAGCATCCTTGTTGTTCCCAAAGTGGGTTGTTCCGACAATAATTGGAACTGGGAGATGGCCCGGGCCTGTGCCCAGCTCTCCATCTGTCCCAGAACTCAGGAAACTGCGCTGTTTACAGTGAGGCAAGGATGAAGCAAAGCAACTGCAGTAAGTGCTGGGACAAAATCCCAAGGATTTAACCCACTCCTCAGGGTGTCCGTGGGGTGTGATCCACAGGCACCTTCACCTGCCGGCAGAAGCAGCGTGTTAGCTGTGGCAGACCCACAAAACATGGTCCAGAGGCCCTTTGAGATCATACGTGGTATAGTTACCTACCAAAGACAGGCCTGGAACCCCCGTGATGTGGATGGGATTATAGCAGGTCTCTGCTACCTAGGATGGAAGTACAGAGCAGACCTCACGGTTTTGGTTATAATCCTCTGGAGAACGTCCCTGAAGCGGGAAGAAGGGAGGGAGATTGGCACATGCTGCAGCCTTCTGTTTCCCAGTTCAGGGGCTTTGGTGTGCAGAGTGTGCTTCATGCTTGTCCTGTCTTTACCCAGCTTCTGTCCCCTGCCATTGAGCCCTCAGCAGATGCCCTGAGATCAGAGAGAAGAGGTGTGGCCCATCCTGTGTGCTGAGTGGTGCTGATGGCAACTTTGTTTTGTAATCCCTAGGTCCTGAAGATGGCATAGTAATAATAGAGGCACCTTCTAAGGATCGGGAGCATCTTGACCCGTGGGTCCCTGCCCGGGCCATTGGCGCCGTGTTGAGCTGAAGGAACTTGTCTACTGCGTTCCTGAAAACCTCTTTCCCTCCTAATTCATGAGCCAGCAGGATGCGGTCGCTGCACTTTCAGAACGCCTTCTCATAGCTGCGTACAAAGGCCAAGCAGAGAATGTGGTTCAGCTCATCAACAAGGGCGCCAAGGTAGCAGTTACCAAGGTAACAAGAAGGGGAAAAAAAAAAACGCTTTAGCCATTCCCTGGGAAAAAGCTTACCTCCTAATAACCATTGTCTGAACAACTGTTGTGTTTGGTTTGAAGCTTTCATAGAACTGGCTTCTTTTTTTTTCCAGTGATGACAGTTTGGAGAGAAGGAAGGGGGATTAAAATGCTTTCAGTGCTATCTTTCAAATGGAGTGACTTGTAATTAGCATTTGACAGTCTTTAAAATCACAGTGTGGCTTTTTCTCACCTACTTCTTTAGCTAAATGGGTAAGAGATCTCTCTGGAGAAGTTGGGGTACAAAAACTTATTGGGAAGAATGTTTGTACAATAATCACATTAGACCAGCTTGTGGACAGGGCAGCCCATCCACTGTGCAGAGCCTCACTGGTCCCGTCTGTACAGTGACAGGCTTGGACCAGATGACGGCCACCATCTCTTTGGGCTTTCATTTCATATGGGTCAGTAAAAGTTATGGTAAGCTTTGGAGGACATTGCTTATCCCCCACCAACAGATAATACCATGGGAGACGAGAGAACATACTGGCCAATGGGCAGTTTTGTAGCAAAACGGAGGAAAGTCAGGCTGCAGAGTTAGGTGACAAGTTAAAATACAAACAGGGGATAATGCTGATGGAAAATACTTATTGAGCACTTAGTATTGCTCTAAGGACTTTACAGTCCTCTAGACGAGGTTCTTTTTTTCATCCCCACTGTAGAGATGAGGAAACTGAGGCACAGAATGATATAAGTAACTTGCTCAGGGTCCTTCAGCTGTTGAGTGGCAGAATTGCTACTTGTACCTGCAGAGTCTGACTCCAAAGCCCACCCTCCAGGCCACCCCAGATAGAGCTGTGGTAAGAAGCAAAGTTTAGTTTTCAAATGGTAATGTCTGACCACCAGTGGCAAAGATTGGCCACATTTTCAGTTACTCATATGCAGTCTCTATATTTCGTGATTCTGATGTGTGCTTTTTTGGCATCACCAGGCAAGCAGTTTAATAGTTTAAGGTCTCAGTCCCACAAGAGTGCCGCCCCCACACAGGTACAGTTGCCAAGCACAGGTTATGACCTGTGCTTCGAACCAACTGGTTATAAATCAAAGGTTCCCACAACTCCCTCCTTGTGTTCGATTAATTTGCTAGAGGCAGTCACAGAACTCAGGAAGACATTTTGCTTACTAGATTACCAGTTCATTATGAAAGGATATGATATAACTGAGGATCAGCCAGATAGAAGAGAGACATTAGGGGAAGATATGAAGAAAGGGGCACAGAGCTTCCATGCTCTCTGAGTGCACCACCCTCCCAGCACCTCCACGTCTTCACCAACCCAGAAGTTTTCTGAATTCTCTTGGTTTTTATGGAGGCTTCATTGATAATTACTGATTGACATTCAACCTCCAGTCTCACCCCCCTCCCTGGAGGCCATGGGATAGGACAGAAAGTTTAACCCTCTAATCAAGGTTGGTTCCCCTGGCAACCAGCCCCCATCCTTAGGGGCTTTCCAAAAGTTACCTCATTAATAAAAACTCAGGTGTGGTTGAAAGGGATTTACTATGAAGAAAACACTTCTTTCACTTTTTTGGATCTGGAGCTATTTCAGGAACTGAGGACAAAAGACCAACTACTGTAACAAAAGATGCTCGCATTGCTCTTATCACTTAGGAAATTCCAAGGATTTGAGGAGCCATGAGCCAGGAACGGGGACTAAAACTAAATATATATTTATTATAAAGACATTCCAGGCTCATGGATTAGAAGAAAAAATATTGTTAAAATGTTTATACTATCCAAAGCAATGTACACATTCAATACAATCTTTGTTAATATACCAACAGCATTTTTCATAGAACTCTGGCAATCCTAAAATTTGTATGGAACCACAAAAGATCCCAAATAGCTAAAGCAATCATGAAAAAGTAAAACAAAGCTGGAGGCAATCAGAATTCTGGGCTTCAAGTTATATTACAAAGCTGCAGTAATCAAAAAAGTATGGTACTGGCACAAAAATAGACAAATGGGGTGCCTCGGTGGCTTAGTCAGTTAAGCATCAGACTCTTGGTTTTAGCTCAGGTAATGATCTCAGGGTCATGAGATCGAGCCCTGCCTCAGGCTCCATGCTCAGCAGGGAGTCTACTCGAGATTTGCTCTCTTCCTCGCCCTCTGCTTCTCCCCATCCCCCCCCCAAATAAATAAATAAGTCTTTAAGAAAATGGACATATAGATCAATGGACCAGAAAAGAAATCCAGAAATAAATCCACAATTAAATGGTCAATTAATCTTCGACAAAGGAGGCAAGAATGTACAACGGGAAAAAAACTCTTCAACAAATGGTGCTGGGAAAACTGGACAGCAACATGCAAAAGAGTGAAACTGGGCCACTTTCTTATACCGTACACAAAAATAAATTCAAAATGGATTAAAGACCTAAATGTGAGACCTGAAACCATAAAAATCCTAAAAGAGCACAGGCAGTAACTTCTTTGACATTAGGCTTAGCAACTTCTTTCTAGATATGTCTCCTGAGGCAAGGAAAACAAAAGCAAAAATAAACTATTGGGACTACATCAAAATAAAAAAGCTTCTGCACAGCAAAGGAAACAATCAACAGAACTAAAAGACAACCAACTGAATGGGAGAAGATATTTGCAAATGACATATTCAATAAAGGATTAGTATCCAAATATATAAAGAACTTATAAAACTCAACACCCCAAAAACAAATAATCCAATTTAAAAATGGTCAGAAAACTTGAATAGATATTTCTCTGAAAAAGACATGCAGTTGGCCAACAAGCACATGAAAAGATGCTCATCATCACTTATCATCAGGGAAATGCAAATCAAAACCACAATGTGATAGCACCTCACACCTGTCAGAATGGCTAAAATCAACAACACAAGAAACAATAAGTGTTGGTGAGGTTGTGGAGAAAAAGAACCCTCTTGCACTGTTGGTGGGAATGCAAACTGGTGCAGCCACTGTGGAAGACAGAATGGGGATTCCTCGAAAAGTTAAAGATAGAACTACCTTATTATCCAGCAATTGCACTATTGGGTATTTACCCAAAGAATACAAAAAACACTAATTCAAAGTGTTTCATGTACCCCTAATGTTTATAGCAGCATTATTTATAGTAGCAAGGTATGGAAGCAGCCCAAGTGTCCATGGGTAGATGAATAGATAAAGAAGATGTACACACATATATATAACAGAATATTATTCGGCCATATAACAGAAGATTATATATATATGTGTGTGGATGGATAGATAGATAGATAGATAGATTACCAGGGCTGGGTGAGTGGGGGAAAGGGTAAAATAGGTGATGGGAATTAAGGAGTGCACTTGTTGGGTGAGGTATGGAAATGCTGAATCACTATATCACACACCTGAAACTAATATGACACTGCATGTTAACTAATAATTAAAATAAAAACTTAAAAAAACAGTAGGTTTTACTTTAATTTTTATGTTGTACCTACACATAGACTAAAGTGTCAAATATTTTTACTATGTTTCTCTTCCATTTCTGAGCCTTCATAACCAACTACATTCAAGTCTTTTGGGTATTTTAGTGTTTACATTCATAAATGATATGCTGATATTGCTCAATCTCGATTTTTCCATTTTAGGCATTATCTGTTGATGTAACAATATGAAAACGGATGATCTAAGATTTAACTTTCTTTTCCCTGCTCTCACATGTGCATGTCTACCTTCTCCAAGACAGTTGTGTCATTACTTAGGTGACATCAGCATTCAGTCTTTACATTAAGTTAACCAGTTTATTTATTTACTTATTTTAAAGATTTATTATTTATTTGAGAGAGAAGGAGAGAGAGAGAGCAGGGTGAGGGCCAGAGGAAGAGAGAGAGGGGGAGAGAATCTCAAGCAGACTCCCTGGTGAGCACAGAGCCTGAGGTGGCCCTGAGATCATGACCTGAGCTGAAATCAAGAATCAGACGTTCATGGGGCACCTGGGTGGCTCAGTCGGTTAAGTGTCTGCCTTCGGCTTGGGTCATGATCCCAGGGTCCTGCTCTGCAGGGAGCCTGCTTCTCCCTCTTCCTCTGCCTGCTGCTCCCCCTGCTTGTGCTCTCTCTCTGTCAAATAAATAAATAAAATCTTAAAAAAAAAAAAATCAGACGTTCAACTGACTAAGCCACCCAGGTGCCCCTTAACTAGTTTATTTATAGCTGAACCATGTAGAGTGTACTATCATTATGTTTCCTTTTTTTTTCCTTTGTAATAATTCCTTTACTCTGATGTTAATAATTGTCCTATATTTGTTTCCTTAGTTTTGTATGTGCATATCACAAATTATGCTAAAACTCAGTTGCTGATCTGCTCTCTGGATGTTCAAATGTGTTAGGTAGTCTTGCCACTGAGTCTCTTTGAAGAGATGTTCTCTGGAGCCCCCTCCCCTATTTCAGTCCAGACTGGTGGCCCTTAAGGCCTTCTGACAAATGTCACTCTTCACTATTATCCTAGGGATTTCGCTTACCACTTTCATATATGTTGATCTCCTAGTGTCTTTTTCTTTCTTGGTTTACTCCCTTGGTTTGATGTGATATACCCTCTAGTACAGCACTGTTTAACAGAACTTTCTGTGATGGTGAAATGTTCTATATCTATGCTGTCTAATAGGGTAACAACACATGGTTATTGAGTGCCTAGAATGTTGCTAGTGTGGCTGAATTTCAAATTTAATTTTAATTAACTAAAGTTAAAATGCCACATGTGGCTGTTGGCTACTGTATTGAATATGAATAGCACAGCTGTGATATCTTCCTGAGAATGAGTGGATGGGAGAGATTGATCAACTTTAGACATAATCTATTGCCCCTTTCTCTTCCATACTCTCAATCTAGTTATATCACAATCTTAAGCAGATTCATAATTACTGTGATTATGTAATTGCTGTTCATTGGTGAGCCAAGAGTTGTACTATAATTAATTACATTTCCATTTTTATATAACTTGCTGTTTTTCCT